TCCCCAAGTGAGATGCACCAATTGCCAAAATGCTGAAGAAAAGCCAAGTAGAGCTCCTATGTGCCATCTCCCCCATCTGTGCAATCCTTTCTACACCACTCAGGGATAAGAAATAATCTAGCTCCTGCAATTGATACACAGTTATCTCCGAAGATGTACGGGGGCTGGATTTTCAGGTGGTTTCGGCATGCAGAATGTGGTACTCGAGTAACCGCGTGGCTGGTTACCTGGGTGCCTGTGTGTGCAAACCCACAGCAACTCCATGTGCAGCTTTTCGACGAGAAGCCGAAATGCATTCTGGATCTGGATCAAAACACTAAGTTCTCAGCCCGTCCCTTGTGTACTGTCGCATGAAATCAGTCCTTAGTTTCTGCACCTGTGGTGAGCTTCAGGTGGGGAGGACCTTGGTGCCCGTGCAGACCCACAGGGAAGCCTGGTGCGTTTTGCAAGGATGGAGGGCTCTGCCCATGTGAAGCTCGTGGCAGTCCTGGGGCATTGGTTGAAATGAGTCAAGGAAGTCGCACAATCAGCAGGTGCACCCCCCACTGATTTTAGCCTTTGCCCCTTGTTTTCAGGCTGGATTAATGCACGACTTCAAATTGGTTTCAGCTTTTCATTCCATAACCCACTCTTCCTGGGAGAAAAGATTTGGAAAGCAAGCAAAGATGAAAAAAGAATCAAGATTATGTGGCATTAAACTTGCAGGAAAACAATTGTCATAGAAATGTTCCTCCAACTGTTTTTTTCCCTGTAAAAGCTGCCTTTTTACTACATGTTTATAAAAACATTTTTAAGGAGAGATATTTTTCAGAAAAGCCTTTTAAAAATTTTAAAGGTCTTTTATACTCTCCCTGGTGCTATTCTTGTTTGTGTGTTTTTTGGTTTTTTTAGACTAAGGACTTTTAATGTCCACATTTCTGCAGGTTTTTATACAATCCTAAATAATGATGAGTTTGTATTTTTGTTGTTGACTGTTTCACATGTTTTCTGTAGCAGGAGCCCAGTACCAAAGTATGAACCATCAAAACGGTGCCTTTTCTAAACAGTTTACTGATTTTTTTTTTTTTTTTTTTTTTTTTGG